CAGGATGTGAAATCATAGAAAATAAACCCCTCTAGAGATGGTATGATCATAACTGTTAAATACATAAAATTTATTTATAGAAGAAAACCCGTAATAAAATTTAACAAAATACTAAGAGTGGTTGTTTTGGAACAAAGGAACTCTTGGGCCTTAAGGGCCCTGTGTGTGGAAGGAAGAAACCGGAACACCCCCTCAATTCCTTGCAAATTGCTCCTGCAATCACAGGCTGAAATCCCGGGAGCAGCCACTAGATGGAGCCTCACTATTTCTAAGTTGAGTTTCTGTTCCATTGTTGATTGCCCAGGGCTTCAGCTAGAGAGAGCAAACATTTCAGAGCTTTTCTCCCCTTTCCTTCCCCTGTGTTCATGTATCTGCCGCCCTCCTGCCTTCATACATGCTCTGATGCGCAAGCATAGGAGGCTTTGCCTCTCCCGTAAGATTTGAAAGAGAAAGAGGAATAGGAACTCACATTTATCCAATACCTGCTTCATACCTGACCCTTCAGTGGGCACTTTACAATCACCTCACTGCTTGTTAAACGCGGGCAGGCTGTCCAGGTGTTTGCTGAGGTCCCCCGCACCTGCTCCTCCCTTAGACAACACCTCCTGAGCACAGGGACAATCTCAAAGGAATGTTGTTTTCCATTGTGTACGTATATACACATATACATTTATATTTATAGCACTATTAAATCAGTTTTTTCTTTTTCTAATTGAAGTATAATCAGTTTACAATGTGTTAATTTCTGGTATACAGCATAGTGTTTCAATTATACATACATATATTCCTTTTCATATTCTTTTTCATTATAGGTTATTATAAGGTATTGACTATAGTTCCCTGTGCTATCCAATAGGATTTTTTTTCTGTTTTATACATAGTAGCTAGTATCTTCAAATTCTCAAGTCCCAGTTTATCCCTCTACTCCCTCCCCCCTTTTCACACTGATAACCATATGTTTGTTTTCTCTGTCTAAGGCTGTTTCTACTTTGTAAATAAGTTCATTTGTGTCATAAATCAGCTTTATGATTATATTATTCAGGTACTAATAACCTTTTTTGACTACTTGATTTTACTGAGTTAGCTAAAACTATGATGTCTTTATTTTTAAATCACATTCGCTATGTATTTCACATAATCAAAAATTAAGAAGAGCAGTAAGCATCTAAGTTGGAGAAATGTTAAGAAGTGGGTACTCTTAGGCACTGCTGTTGAGAGTGTTAATGGCCACAATCATTTCAGAAAGTAATCTGAAATCTATTCAAATTAAAAGTCCAAAAAAAAGAAGTCCATGTACCCTTTGTACTATCCTTTTAGATCCTACAGATATAAAAGCATCAATACCAAAGGACCTCTGATCAAGAAAGCTGTTGCAGCATTACTTGCAATGGCTCCAAACTAGAAATTATCTCAATACTGAGCAACAAAAGAATAGTTAACTAAAATACAGTACAGCCATACTATAAATAGCAGGCAACATTCAACTAGAGAACAATGTATTTAAAACCCCTGGAGTTTTATATACGTTGTTTTTTTAAAAAAATATTTGCTGTATTTTTGTATTTGCTGGGTTTTTTTTTTTGTATTGGTTGTATTATTAAACAAGAAAGTTCAGAGTTAATATGCGTGTATGAGCCACTGTGTAACCCTCTCTTTCCCAAACTCCCACTCATAATCCTATGTATGTGAGGAGATACTACAGACCAGCCTGCTGACTGACTTCTGTGGAATGGGACTGAAAGGTTTTGAAGGGAAATTGTTACCTTTTCCCTTCTACATCTGTATTGACTTTTTAAAAACTTTATAATAATAATTTTCTAAAATAAGTAACACAAAGCAAAAAATCCTTGAAAGGTCATGTTTAACTCTTTACAGATGAGGACATACGTTGAATAAAGTGATGTAATTTCTGGTGGTGATTACTTTTGAACGTCCAGCATCTAATCCAGTGCTGTGGAAAGACACCCTGTGAACACGCACCTCTCCCAGCTCCTTTCCTCTCAAGCAGGCGGCACTGGGCCTCGAGGCGGCAGTGAGGGCAGCAGGCGTGGTTGGTTGGAGCCCACAGGGCCCTCCGGGTTGCCCCTGTGCTCAGGTGGGTGTTGTCTACGGGAGGAGCAGGTGTGGGGCTCAGCCAACACCTGGACGGCCTTTCCGCGTTTAAGAAGCAGGAAGGTGATTGTAAAGTGCCCACGAATGGGCCAGGCAGGAAGCGGGTGCTGGAGAAATGTGAGTTCCTGTTCCTCTTTCTCTTTCAAATCTCGCGGAGGAGGGGGGGGGGCCTCCTATGCTTGCGCATCAGAACTCGCAGGAAGGCAGGTGAGCAGCAGATTCCTGAGACCGGAGACCCGCGGAGCACCTGCGAGGCTGACACTTGCTGCAGTGCCAGCGCAGCGGGCTCGCTAACTGGCTAACGGGCTAAGGGGCGGGGCTCGCCAGGAACCAGGAGGCGGGGCGCGGGGGTGGGGTGGGGGGCGCTGCTGGGAGGGCGGGGCTTGGCTGGGGGCGGGGCTACCGCGGAACGTGAGCTCCTTCTGCCCCAGCACCGTGCTGAGCACTCGGGAGACACTATTTGTCGAAAGAAGCAAAGGGGCGAGGGCACATGGATGCCGGAGTAGACAGGAGGTTTGCTTTCCCAGTCCCAAGAGTATTCTTTCTGGAATTTCCAGAAAGCTACCTCCTTCCAGGGGCAACCTGACTGGGGAGAAATCCCCAGCTTGTATCCCTTTTCTTGTGCCTGACCCAGCACATGTTCCCTGTCCTGGGTGGACGCCTTTGCTTTGGGGGGGAGACCCTTTGATTTGACTAGGAATTTCAGAAGCACGAATAATCTGACTCCTTATACTGAAACAAGTTCAACTAGATTGGGTTTAGATTAAAAAATAAACCCATAAACATACTAGAAGACAACGTGGGGAAACTTTTTCCAGTTTCACAGCGGGGAAGGATGAAGACCGACACAGAAAGGCCTACATCAACCGCGTGATAGAAAATGGGCAAAGACTGAACAGGCACTTGATACAAAAGGGAATTCAGATAGCCTGAAGTATGGGGACGAGGGCAGAGACCATACAAAATTACAATGAAATGCCAATTCCCTCTTGTTAGTTTGGCAAATTCTAAGAAATTGGTCTCCCGATGTGTCGATTTGGGTGGGGCCCTCAGGAGTGTAACAGGGTGATCTCCCTGGAAGGTAGGCTGGTCTTCCTACTCCTCCTTTCCCCTTACTTAGGAAAATGTCCTGTGTGGTGCCCTCCTTCAACTTAAAAGGTAAACTAACAGGCTGGTGCGAGTCACAGATAACTCACCTCACTCCCCAGAAGGTCCCTGAGTGAGGGTGCTGTGCTGGGGCCACAGAGATGCTGGCCTCTTTTTTCCCTCTCTTCCTTCTGGTCTAGTGCCTGCAGAGAAAGGAGGAGGCTTGTCCGGGACTTGGAGGTCCTGGGGCTTCCAGGGGTCTCTGAGCTGCTATCCACATGGTTGTAGCTTCCAAGAAAAACCACGGAGATGGCCCTGCCCCTGCCAGGGTAGGAGAAATCCATCTGCTGAGCACCGGGCCTGGGGCTCTGGGGCTTGGGGCTTAGGGGCTTAGAGGGTACCCCTTGGCTTCCATAGGCCAGGCAACAGGCAGAGCTGGAGGGGAGGGCGTGGTTGATCGCAGTCGGTTGCCAAGGAGGTCTGGTTGGTGCCAAAGACCAAGACTTTTCAGGAAAGATACCCGCAGGCAGGTATTTACCACTTTCCCGGGGGCTTGTACATTTGATGGTTGGTTCACTTTTTCTCCTGTTGTCTGACGAGACCAAATCGCTGGAGGGCAAAGGTAGGGGGGATTGTGGGGGTGTCCAGTGATCTCTAAAAACGTAGCTCTCCTTGTCCTCCTGCTCCTCACAGTGGTTACTGGTCGCTAGTGGGGACGGTCTGGGCGGATTCAAGACTTCTGGTCCTGGAACCAGACTCACGAAGGAGGGCCTTTTGGGGCCCTCCGTATCTTTGCTTTTCAGAAATGCCCGCCAGGAACTCTGGCGCAGCCAGCTCTTCTCCTTCTGGTCCTTGAAAGAACCTGGAGAACACTCATCAGTGTTCTCTTTCTCTAAGACTTTTGACTCAAAAAAATTGGCAAAGGTCCTCTGAGCTGAGGCCAACCTTGCCCTGAGCCTTTTCTCGGGGGTTTTGAGTCTCTTGGCGTCGCTGAATTCTGAGGCCGGTCTTCTGCTGCCGAGGTCCCCACGCGTCTCCACTTGGGCCCCTTCTATCAGCCCTGCGGGAGGCCGGGCCCGGCCCGACACGCTCTGCCCGGTGGCCGCCTGGGGGCCGATGTCCGCGCACAGCTCCTGCAGGCTGGAAGAGCCCCCGGGG